AAATAGCATATATATATATATATATATATATATATATATATAAATTGTATTGTAAATACCACTTGTATTAGGTACCATAAGTAATCCAGAGGTCATTTGAAGTATATAAGAAGATGTGCTGGGTGTGGTGGTGCACACCTATAATCCCAGCACTTGGGAGGCTGAGGCAGAAGGATCAGTGCAAGTTCCAGGCTAGCCTGTGCTACAGTCCAGTGTATCAATCAGTGCTCACTACGGAAACACATTTAATGCAAGATATACAAATATATAAGGATTTATAAGATTGGCTTACAATGGCCGCTATAGAGTCAGTTGTGGAAGCATGCAGAAGGGCTGTGTACCTGCTAGAGATCTGAAGGGTCTAGCCAAAAGTTCACTGTAGGGCCAGGGATTTAGCTCAGTGATTCTGCTGCCTGCCTTGCAAACACAAGGACCAGAGTTCAATCCCTGGTACAAAAAAAAATTTTTTTTTCGCTGTGGTGTCCAAGTCTGTATCAGGAGGCTGAATGGTCTGTGCTGGAAGCCAGGAAATGATGTCCAAGGTGAAGATAAAGACTGGAGCTCCTCTGATGAAACAGAAGGGAGCCTTCCTTTGTTTCCCTTTTATTCCATTCAGGTGACAAGCCTATTCATTGGCGCCCCTCACACCCAGGATGGGTCTTCTGTCTTCAGTAAATCCCTCAGCCACGCCCAGAACTGTGCTGATACAGTCTAGTTGAGTGCTCCTTACACAAGTTGATAACATTCAGTTAACTATCATCACAGGCTGCCTGGAATACATTGCAAGTCCCTGACTCAAAAAAAAGTGCTTAGGTTGCATGCAAATAATCTACTACACCATTTTGTATACAGGACTTGAGCAGCATTGGTTTTGTATTCGAGTCAGGGACACCCTGGAACCAATCCCTCAGATGGTGAGAGATGACCGCATATAAGTCTGAGCATTTACTAATTGCCTGAGTAGGACAAAAGTCATACATGACATTGCCCTTGCTGCAAGAAGCTCAGCCTTACTGGGCTATGATAATCTGCATGTCACCTTTTCCTAACAGCCTGCTGAAGAGGGTAAAAATGCTACTCAACTAATACACGTTGTAAAAGTATGGTTTTTCAACTTCATGTCTTTGTGGCATTTTAGGTAAAGGCTCTTTTGCTGTTTGTTTTTTTGGCCCCTGCAGGAATGCTGTCACACACCACTCCTGGCTCTCATCACTCTGGGTAGAGCCAGCTTCCCTGGTTTGCTCCTGTGTTTTGCTGCCATAGCTCTTCAGCACAGAAGATTTATACTAGGCCAGTGATGGCGAACCTTTTAGAGACGAGTGCCCAAAGTGCAACCCCAAAAAGTGTCAATACTGCAATTAGACCTCAATACCGAGGTTTTACTTTAGAAAAAAACTTGTATATTAACATATTTTGTGTTAAAAACAACATGTGTGCCATAGGTTCACCACCGCTGATGGTCTAGTAACTAGACCTACATACAGAGATTTGACTGCTGAAGATTCATTTTGCCACACTGGGTTTCCCACAACAACAAGTAGATTGTACAGGGTCTTAGACTGTTGCTGTGCTTAGAGAACAGCAAAAACAAAAACAAAAACTATACGTATGTATAGATGATCACAAAAATACCTGGGTTCAGAGAAACGGGGATGGATGGGATTAGGGGTATACTTTCCGAGTGACTCAGATGCACTGTGCTGGACAGCTCCCAGCCTCTGCAGTTTCTCGCCCACTTCCCAGAAAGGCTAGGACAGGAGTGAGAAAATGCTCACTCCTCACACCTATGAAGAGTTCTATAGAAACCACAGCCCGAGTGTCCTGTCTATGAAGCAGCCCACTTTGGGCTGTGCTTGGAAAGGTGTGAGGAGGAGAGGCAGACAGCTCCAGAGCAGATGAAGACAGTCACAGGAGGAGGAAGTGAGGTTCTCTTAAACAGCAAGCACTGGGCTTTGGCTTGTATGTGTCCTTCCTCAGTTTGAATGCAGGTCCTGCTCGCCATCTCTGTGGTGGGGGCAGCAGCAGGAGGAGGAGGCTCTGTGCTGGCCTGGGCAGGTCCCGCAGGCAGGGTCTAGCTGCATTCCAAGTAAGACATGGGCACAATAGCACAACTCCAAGGAAAGCAGTCAGAATGAGGGGCAGTGTGGAAACATGATCCACCAGAGGTAGGGCAGCAGAGTGGCTAGGAGCACGGGGCTTGGCATCCTGGACTGCTTTCTCACAGTGTGATCGTGGGCAAATAATCTAACCCTCCAGGCCTCTATTTTCTCATCTGTAAGACAGGGAAAACTTGTGGGGTGTCCTGTGAGAATCCAGTGAGATAATGCACGGGAATCCCTTAACTCTCTGCCTACACTTATGTGATTACTTTTATAATAATGCTAGGGGTTTTTGTTACAGGGGATATGGAAGACATTGAGATTGTTTATTCTGGAGATTAGACAAAGATATGATGGCTGTTTTCAGATACTTGAAGGACTATGATGTGGCTGAGGGAAAAAACTTACTTTTAGTGCTCAGAGATTATGACTTGAAATACGGTCCTTGCAGAGACAGATTTCATATCAATAAGTGTGTTTGTGGCACACATGCCCAGGACAACCAGGCTGTTTCACAAAGTCCGGGGCTCCTTGTCACTGGACTTTTTGCTGTCAGATGTGAGTGGATGCAGCACTTGGAGGTCAAAGGGAAATCTCTGTTCCGAGGAGGAGGTAGGTTGGACCAGGTGCCTCAGTTTTCTTCTGCCTCTCTAATGCCAGGAAATTTAGCAAAAGGCTTGAGCCTTTGGACTCTGAGAAAACTCATGAAACCTGCAGTTACACAGAATGAAAAACAAAAACATTTTTCTGAAGGATCCATTGAGTACAGAACATTAACTTGCTTAGAGAAGGTGATTCTCAACAATTTCTTCAGTGTATTTATTTGCTAAGGCCTCCTTAACAAAGACTCGCAGGGCACAGTGGTGCATTCCTCTGTAATCCCTGCTCTGAGAGGCTGACACAGGAGGATTCTGAGCCCTCTCTGGGCAATTCAGTGATTTAGTGAGACCTGCTCTCAAAATAAAAAATAAAAGGTGGCCTGGGGATGTAGCTCATTACAGAGACCTTGGGTTCAATCCCCAGGTCCACTGAACAGAACAACACAACCCCACAGACTAAGTGGTTTAAACAACAGAAATGTGTTGTCCCAAGTGGAGGCTGGAAGTTTCAAGGCTAGGTGTTAGCTGTGTTGGTTCCCTCTGAGGCCAATCTTCCTGCAGATGGCCGCCTTCTCGCTGTGTCTTTGTAGTCTCCCAATCTTCGTATCTCTTCTTGTAAGGACAACAACCAAGAAATAAAGGCCCACCTCTAAGGCATTATTAAACCTTAGTTGCCTCCTTCCAGATTGTCCCTCAGTATCTATCGGACATCGGCTCCAGGACCCCCTCAGATACAAGTCCTTCATATAAAATGCAGATACTATATTTGCATATAACTAATGGACTTTTAATCATCTCTAGATTGTATGATAGCTACTACAGTGTAAATCTATGCGAACAGTTATACTGTGTTGTGTAGCTAATACAATCACACTGTGATACTCAACTGCTTTGAAACTCATGGAATTTTTTTTTTTTTTGTACTGGGGTCTCAAACTCAGGTCGCAGGTTGCAGAACCATCATAGAATTTGATAATCAGTGCATTTTGGCATGAAAACTTTGTCCTGGTACTGGTCATTTGGTATAGCAGGTACAAGCTAGAACTTGTCTGTCAAATGCCTGTGGTTCCTCACCCTCTCCAGCCAAAACCGTTTGCTTGGTACTAATTTCTGGTACATATTGAGCCTCTCAGAACCAATTAACTAGGACAAAGGTACTGCAATAATGAAAAGTCAGTACATATTCAGTGCGGGAATAGGTTTTCCTTTCTGAATATGTCCACAGTTGGACCCATGGATAGAGGCGGCCAACTGGGCAGGCACATTCTGAGGTCACGGATAGGGGTGGGGCACAGCCTAGCCCAGCAGAGGTCTTAAGAGGTGGCCTTCAGAACTTGACATATTCTTTAAACTGTATCCTGTCTTGATTCCCTTCTCTTAGGTGAACGGCCCTTTCCCTGCACATGGCCAGACTGCCTTAAAAAGTTCTCCCGTTCAGATGAGCTGACCCGCCACTACCGGACCCACACTGGGGAAAAGCAGTTCCGCTGTCCACTGTGTGAGAAGCGCTTCATGAGGAGTGACCACCTCACAAAGCATGCCCGGCGTCACACTGAGTTCCACCCCAGCATGATCAAGCGATCGAAAAAGGCGCTGGCCAACCCATTGTGAGGTGCTACCATGGCAGCCAGGGAGGGATGGACCACAAAGGACAAAACTACTCCCAAGAAACAGGTGGACACGTGGAAACCCAGCCCCAGAAGAGTTACGCTGACAGCAGGAGGTCGCTGCTCTTTGGTCAATATTCTGATTTTTCCTCTCCCTGTGTTCTTTTTTAAAAAGCACATGGTAGCGGGAGATCAAAGTCAACACTTGGTCCCCTTGCAGAGGCAACTCTTGAACTGTCTCTGACTGCTGGAGGGAAGGCGAATGCTTTTGGTTGTTTGCTCCTTTACCTTGGGGGGTGCGGGTGGGGAGCACAGGAAGGCCAAGACTGGGGTAGGATTTCCAATTCACACTGGTGTACATATGTCTGACTGGGTGAGTTGACTTGTGGCATCACACAGCGATCCTGGGCCTTTATGCTTGCTGTCTCAGAATTGTTTTCTTACCTTTTAATGTAATGACGAGTGTGCTTCAGTTTGTTTATTAGCAAAACCACTCTCTTGAATCACGTTAACTTTTGAGATTAAAAAGAAAAAACTCCATAGCACAGCTGTCTTTATGCAAGCAAGAGCACATCTACTCCAGCATGACCTGTCATCTAAAGACTTGAAAACAAAAAAGTTACTTATAGTCAATGGGTAAGCAGAGTCCGAATTTATACTAATCAAGACGAACCTACGAAAGGTTACACTTAAGTACGGAACTTTTCAACCTTGCTTTGTATGGATTGTACTTTTTGAATATAAGCTGCACTTTTATTTTCTAATGCACAGGATGAATAAGTTAAATACATGCTTTGAGGATAGATGCAGACATTCTGTTTGCACCTTGTTATACTCTGTTTTACAATATATACCTTTCCCTAAAAATTCATGGTGGAGATGTGAGGGGAGAATATACACAACACATGCTGAAGGAGAAGGAGGGTAGTGCTTTAAAAAAAAATACAAAACAACAACAAACAGAATTTTAACTCTATTAATTTGTCCAAATTTTCCTTAGCTAGCGTTGTCTTCTTATATCATAATCCCACTAAGAGAGCTTTTGACCCTGTGCATTGTTATTTGAATGGGTGCATAACAGTCACTAGGTCTTGAAATACCTCTTAAGGGGGTAATGGTTTGTTGATATCCTTCCCATGTTCCTACAAATCTTCCACTGTCAGGTGCAAGAGTTATGTAAAAGGAAAGAGAGCTGAAATATGAAAAGAAAAATATCCCTATATGTAGTAAAATGTCAAGGGAAAATACCACAGTGATTTCAGAGGAGACTCTGCAAAACAGACCCTTTTGGAGATCGTAAGCCAATGAAATACATATGAATGAATTCACATCACTGTACCTTTTACATTGGTAGCATCACCACTATGTATCTTGTATCTAGGTGTCTACAAGGCCTAAACCACTATATCCATACTATGCCATTTACTGAAAACTTACTTTTGGCCTTTAGATAGCCAGAAAAATGAACTGAGTTTTCATAGTTAAAAAACAAAAACCAAACCTCAAATGAGAGGAGTCAGCAGTGATCATGGGGGAAATGTTTACATTTTTTTTCTTCAGAAATAACATTTTCTGGCGATTTTCTCTGATATTTAAAATAAGGAGCTGTGGTGCACTCTAGTTTATCCTTGTGCTATTAAAAAATGTGTAAACGCACGGTGCCCACCTGGTCGTGAGCTCGCTATTTCACCCGACACATCTTGTTTCTGGTTCGGAATAGGGGCTCCTTGCAGCAGGCACAGGTCATGGCTGACTCCGACTTCCAATACAATAGCCATCACTAGCGCGGTGTATTTTTGTTTAACCAATGTAGTTGTATTAGTAGTTCTATGGAGAGAACTGCTTTTAACTTTAGGGACTGGGAGCAGTCCATGGGCTAAAAAGGAGAGTGTTTTCTCACAAGAAAACATGTCAGGAAAAATAAAGAACACTTTCTACCTCTGTTTCAGATTTTTGAAACGCTTATTTTAAACCAAATTTTAATTTCTGTGTCCAAAATAAGTTTCAAGGACATCTGTTCTTCCATACGAAATAGGTTAGGCTGCCTATTTCTTACTGAGCTCATGGAAAGGCTCTGCTTAGGATACTCTGCACGCTGCCTTTTAGTGAGCGAGGAGTTTGGGGTTGCTTAGCAACTTGCTAACTTGTAAAAACTCAGCTTTCCCTCACAGAAAGAAAAGCAGGAAAAAAAAGTCAAGTCAGTGAAAGACAATCTTTATACTTGCAAGAGTAAATCTATATGTGGCTTTTGTCAAGCACTTAGATGGATACAAATGCAGCAGTTTGTTTTAAGAAATGCACAATTTACTTCCCCAAAAAGTTGGTAATTGCCTTTTCAAGTTGTTGACAGACACACATTTGATATTCTCTTATATGTTACAGAAATGTAACATATATACTCAAGGCTTTTTATTCTTTGTGATGAATCCTGTTTTACAGTGTCACAAAACAGGAACCAGCATTCTAATTAGATTTATTATGTCAAGATATGGTTCAAATAGGACTACTAGAGTTCATTGAACACTAAAACTATGAAACAGTTACTTTTTATATTAAAAAGACCATGGATTTAACTTATGAAAATCCAGATGCAGGATAGTAATTTTTGTTTACTTTTTTAACCAAACTGAATTTTTGAAAGACTATTGCAGGTTGTTTAAAAAAGAAAGAGAAGCTGTTTTATCTAATACTGTAAGTAGTTGTCATATTCTGGAAAATTTAATAGTTTTAGAGTTAAGATATCTCCTCTCCTTGTTAGGGAAGAAGAAAGCCCTTCACCATTGTGGAATGATGCCCTGGCTTTAAGCTTCACATCATGCTTCTTTTGAGAATTCTATTTGGTAGTTATAATTACAGAAACCAATTAGTTTGTCAGTTTGCAATTAGAGTTAGCACAGTACTCATCACTCTGGGTAGAGCGAGATGTTCTTTCACAGTGGATGAATGGTCTATAACACTGTAAGATACTGATCTTTACAACTGTTTAATCAGTTTTATTTTTGTACAGTATTAGTGACCTAAGTTATTTTGCTGTCCTGTTTTTGTAAATCAAATGAAATTATAAGAGGATTCTGACAGTAGGTATTTTGTACATATGTATATATGTTGTCCAAATAAAAATAAATGATAAAGATTGAGTTGTTGCAGTCATTATGTGTAGTAAAAGGGGAGGACTGCACCGTAATGGAAGGTACTTCACTAACTTGTGCTCATGGGACTTTATGAGCAGCGCAAAGGGGACTTAATCCTGTGCCTTTCTACACATGCCGTTTTTGTACAGATTGTGTATATTTACTCTTCGCAGACCTCTGAGGGCACAGACAGGATGGAAGACCACTTGAAACCACAACCCTGTACTATGCTGGAGAACAACAGTGTGGAGGGTTACTAGGAACTGGGCAGAGAACATCAAGGATGAACTGAGCTTTTGATACATCAGTAAGAACACACAGCTTGAGGTTTCCAAGGCAGGACAGTAGAAACATTACATCAAGCAAAGATGAGCACTGAGTAAATGTGTGTGCTATTATTTATTAAGTTTTTTTTTTAGTACTGGAGTTGAACCCACAGGTACGCTATCACTCGGCTATTTCTCCAGCCCTTAAAAAATTTTGAGACAAGATCTCACTAAGTTGCAAAGACTGACCTCAAACTTGCCATCCTCCTGCTTGAGCCTCCCAAGTAGGTGGATTACAGGAGTGCACCACACGCAGCTTGAGCTCTTCTTACTGTATACTACTCAAGGGGCCAAACATATGTTTTTCATTTAATCCTTAGGACAGCTTTGGGAAATACTGTTGCTATCCTTTCATTTCAGACAAGGAAACTAAGGCCTGGATAATGTCCCAAGAGAAACAGTAAGCATCATTGCTAGTACACATTGAATATTCCTTATCCAAACTGCTTGGGATTGGAAGCAAGTTTTAGATGTCAGTTTTTGAATATTTTCAAATATAAATTAAATATCTTGGGGATGGCACCCCAGTCTAAACAAATTCATTTGTGTTATATACATCATGTGCACATAGCCTAAAGGCAATTATATACAATATTTGTAGTTTACCTGCATTTTGACTGCACCCTGACATGATGTCAGATGTAAAATTTTCCACTTGGGGAATACATCGGCACTCAGTTTCAGATTTGGGAGCATTTGGGATTCTCAGAGATGTATACCTTGTACTGAAATACAGATCTGCTGAATCCAACACCTCTACCTTTCTGTACATGCATCCAAGCAGCAGGGCTTTCCTGGAAGTTAATTCATTAGACCCATTTTATTGAGCACCTGTTACTGCTAGGCACTGTTGCTGTTATGGACACAAAGGTGAAAAAGCAGGTTCCCTGTGGTCGAGTTTATATGTTAGTGGAGGGAACACATAATAAACAAAGTAAATGATCCACATAATCTCAGACAGTGGTAAGCACAAAAACAATAAAACAGGGTGGTGTGACAGTGACTTGGGTGTGGGGAGAAGCTACTTTATAAAATCTGTTCATTAAATTCTCCCAGAAAGTACTTAAACTTTTAAGCTGGGTCTCAGATGACAAGCAGAGCCAGCCTTCTGCAAAGCTACAGAGGAATGAGGGTGCCAGGGCAAGGCATTGCTAGAGCGCCGTCATAAAGAGTGCCATCAGCATTTGGAGGAAGTGAAGGAAGGCTGGGTGGCTGGAACATAAACAGAGGAAGAAGAGGAAAGGAAAGTTGTGAGCAGCTGTCAGGGGCCAAGTCACAAAGACCATGAATTTGCAGGGGCTTTTTTTTTTTATTCGAAGGGCAGTGAGGTGGGTCTGCTGGAAGATTGAAAGTAAAGAGTGCTACGATCTGATGTACACTTCAGCAAGCCCTTTCTGGCTACTATGTGGAAAGTGGGTTTTAGAGGAGAAGAGTGGAAACTGCTTGGGTGGGGTGGTACATGCCTGCTGAGGCCAAGGTGGGCTATACAGTGAGACTCTGTCTCAAATAAGTAGAAGCTGGGAAACTAGCAAGGAAACTGATGTATTTGTCCAGGTAAGAGATGTTAAGTCATCTATTCCACGTGGTTAGAAGTGAACAGTCTAAGAAATATACCAACAAAAACATATGGACCTAGCAATTAGGATGTGAGTGGTAAAGAACAGAAAAATACCGTAATGACCTCAGATTTATGACCTGAGCAGTAAGTAGATGTTACTGTTGTTCCCCCACCCCTGCCCCAGGACCAGGGATCAAACTCAGGACCTGGTGCTTGCAAGGCAGGCATGTTGTTCCCCCACCCCTGCCCCAGGACCAGGGATCAAACTCAGGACCTGGAGCTTGCAAGGCAGGCATGATGCCACTGAACTAATCTCTGGCCCTGTTACTGCTGTTTGAAGAGATGAAGGAAAGGGGAAAGGAGAGGGTTGGTAGGAGGATCATGGGTTCATCTTTGGACATGTTGGGTTTAAAGAGCCCATTAGACATCACGTGAAAATGTCTTGGGAACAAGTGTATATATTAGTTCAGAGCTCAAAAATGAACTCTGGGCTAGAGATTTGGAAATCATAGTCCTGTGTAATAGTAATCGAAAGCAAAAGAGTATATGTGATCACCTTGTGATAGAACATAGAGAAGCAGTTAGAACCTAGAGCTGAAGAGGAGAGGTGGGGGAGAAGAAAAGGGAAAAGACAAAGAACAGGTCATAGAGCAAGGGATATGGTAGGACAGTTAATTATGTTGCATGCTTTCAGGGGTATAGTAAGACCATTGCCAAAATGTCCAC